TCTGCCCCCCCCCCCCCCCTAACCCCGAAAGTCAACATTCCCGATCGTCACTTGAAATCACATTCCTATTAAAAATAGTGGCCTATCTGTTTTTTATCCCTTCGGATGTCCCGGTAGCAATAGGGCTGTCCTCAAACGTTTCCTCGTTGTCAATATATATTCGTGTGCCTCCTGAAAGAACGGTCCGGCCACGTTCCGAGTACCACTTTGCAAAGCTACCGTCTCCTGTGTTGTGTACCCTGCACCGAATGTTGTCATTGCAACTCGTAGGAAGAAGTGAAAGTAGCAAAAGCTGTGAAAAGTGGTGCGGCGTAGAGGGTGCGCTTGCGAATTCCTCAATCTCCCATGAGCTGTCCCCGTCTTGTTCCCGGTCTTCGTGCCGAACCCGAAGAACTTTCGATACTTCCCATTCTCTGAACGCCGGTTGAAAGAACGGTAGCCACGGAACGCGTGTCCGGGCGCGTCGCCTAGTCGGTGATCGAGATCTGAGCAAATCCTATTAATGCCTTGTCGTCGGGCACTTCGTTGGCCGCGTAACCAGAATTCTGTGAAACATACGATCATCGTGAATCGACAAGCTGCATAACAACCCTAGGCACTTCCAGAAATCAGACTGTACGTTGGCAGGGAAACGTGAGCAGCCTGGGAAGTGCGAAAAGTTGAAATTGAATTGAGGGCGAGACTGACCAGCGAAAATGTAACTGTCCGCAACTGGCCGGCGCTGTCTATAAGTTTCTGGAGATTAGCTGCTATGACGACAATGTCCTTGCCGTCCACCAAGCCTGCCCCAACCAACTCCGCCGCGATCCCTTCAGCGGAGTCCACGCCAACGGCGAATTCGAATCTAATGTCGTTGAGTTCCCGTTTCTGGTTTCTGAAAGATGCAACGGGATTCTCCAAAAATTATTCGAATTACCGTACCTAGGATTAGAGGATAGACAGGAGATGGAGGGGACGCGTACTCAGGCCTGTCTTCCATAGTGAAGTAGGTCTCGGGTCGTCTGGAATGTAGGGAATCGGGTTGTAATTGGAGATTTTAATTTGACCAAAGCACCACGTACCGTAATCTCAGCACCAAGTTTATGGGAACGTTCTGCTCGGTGTGTTGGATGACCAGCTGACTGGGCGCCAGCTTCACGATTCCATACTCCTCCTCTTCTGGCTCCTCGTCGCTGCTCGGGTTGTCTATGGTGTTCACCGGCAGAGCCTCCTTGCCTTCGTCTCCGCTCGACGCTCCGCTCTCTTCCTCTTCGGAGGACCACACCCACTCCCCTGTGACCGTTCTGTGCAGGCGACCGGAAGTACCAGGCTGCCTCTTGGATGCTTTCTGCACCCGAGTCTCCAGGCTGGGTCCTATCGCTACCAAGGTCTGCTGTAGATACTTCTTGTCCTTCGCTTTCTTGAAGAACGGATGCTTCAGCAGCTCGGTCGCCGTCGGTCTCTTGGTCGGGTCCTTCTGCAGGCAATCTACGATCATCTTCCGGAATGTCTTGCCGTAGGCTTTGTATTGATCCTTGTCGTCCGCCGCGGTGTCCAGCGTCGGCGGATCGTTCTGCAGCGTCAACATCAGCACCTTCATCGGCGGGTACTTGTGGTACGGGGCTGTGCCACTGGCCATCTCGATGGCCGTGATGCCGAGTGACCAGATGTCTGCTTTAAAATCATAGCCATGGTCCTAAAAAGTTATGTGCATATCATAATTGATTTTACCAGTCATCTGTGGGACTGGAACGGCAATACTCAGATTAGAACGTGCGTCTTATTCGAGCATGCGTCACCTAAGCTGTTCTCGACTGTCATAGAAAGTCTTCGGCCACACGCGGCAACGTATCGCATAAATAAAATGTGTATATAAAACCGCTATATGTGTCGTTACAAAGTTACATGCTTGAACAAGACGTTACAACTGGACACACACTCGACGTACGCTTATTGCAATCGACGGACGGACAAAGGCTCTAAGAGTAAAAATCGCGAAACAAATGTTGAACCAGCAGCAAAAGAAACGATCGAAAAGAAGCCTCTACGTTCTAACGAATCTTTAGAGCCTAACAAACGCAAGACCAATATAGACACAAAAACGCAAGCTAAGAAATTGTAATGTTACTTTCCTCTCTCACCTGCTCCATGACCTCTGGTGCCATCCAGCACGGTGTCCCTACAAACGTATGTCTGACTTTCTGTCTACTCAGATCACGACCTGTCGCAAGCCAAGCACTGACCCCAAAATCAGCTATCTGTACCGTGCCATCTTCTCCTAGTAGGATATTACCGGCTTTTATGTCCCTAATATTATTCTGTCATTAAAATTCGTCTATGTATAGAAAAGAATTGAATTCATTTCCCAATAATATCTCTGGTACTCTTTTTAATGTACGAACGACAATTAGAAAAAGATCAGATGGAATCGAGGAAATGAGAAATTCAACTGCAACGGTACCTGTGTATCTGCCCGTTACTGTGAAAGTATTCCAGGCCTTTGAGCACCTCCCGTAATACCGTGGCTATCGTTGCTTCGTCGAACACGCCGTTTTTGCAGTTTGTCGTTCTCGTCTTGTGCTTGATTATGTCCAAAAGGGATCCACCCTCTAGCAACCTGAGGACCAGCCATAGTTCCTCTTTCACCACGAACGATGTGTAATACGTGACCACGTTCTCGTGGTTGCAGGACGACATCGCCTGAATTTCTTTCTATTAAGAACAGAAAACAACGGATCATTTTTTATTCATTTCAATCGCTTCGACCAGCCTTTTGTACTAATCCTCCCCAAAACGGTCCCGGTAATTGGGTCGTTGAACGAGTAGAAGAGCTGCTCTTATTCGTATCCTTGTTCAACGTTTCTATTTTTGATTTATGAAAGTGTTCCGATATATTTAAACGAATTTTTTTCATGAACACAGATACGAATATTATTCTAATTATACAAACTATTGCAGCGTTATCTTATCGAACAATGCCGGAGCGTTATCGCGGCGAACTCTCAGAATGTTTAATTCTCGGTATTCCACGGCTGATAATTTTGATAATCGCGCGTCGATGCGTTATCAGTCGACCCAAGTTTTTCGCCTCTTTTTCCCCATTTCGCGGCACGCCGTTCTTCCTCGACGAAAATTCACCACGGCCGTACTAACCAGCAGCTCGTCCATGCTCGTGTTCCATTTCTCCAGGTTTATTCTCTTTATCGCACATTTTTCCTGCCGTGGAATGCAGAATGCTGCGTGCACCACTGCGGTCGCTCCCACTCCTGAAATCGAGCGACAACAAGCATTACAATTGACGAATTTCGTTGAAAAAACCGGGAGAACGCGAGCGCAAAAATTTTGATGCCGCAAATTGAATCATCGTGCGCACTATGACGTCGTCGCACGTCATCGTCCGCACGACGTCGTTCACCCATGACGCGCATAACAAATCATACCGACGCGTTTCGTCGAATCATTTTTCGGAACCGCTTCGATCGAACACAGATCCCCGATTTCTCTGTTCAAAACACAAAAAGCTTCCGAGTGAATTTTCAAATCCGAGAATCAGCCGAATTTCCCGAACTTTTCTCTCAGAAAATTCGCCAATTCCACCCCCGCGACTCGCACCCTCTCCAGCCACGCGTTCCACCAAAATAATTCCCTCGCATCGCGACGATCTATTTTTTTTCGATCCGACTTTATTCCGACCTTAAATTTCAAACGAAGCTCCGACCGAGACAAAGCCCACGAGAGAGGTCCTGACGTGAATCCTATGGGGGCCACCCGCGGCCACCTTCGACCGCCGTTCGCGAGAACACGCCACCGGCTGCGTGCTTAATTAATCGCCCGGTCGTAGCGCCTCCCGTAACTTGTAAGACTTCGACCGTGCGACACACGGTATATCCCCGATAAATCCGCGCCTCGGGCTCGGCCCGACACCCGCCCTGCAGGACAACGACCGAACGCGAACGTACGACCGATTTGTTGTTGCGTCCGCAGGAGAGCCGCGTTATCGGGGCCGCCGAGCATCGCGAACGTTATTATCGGCTGGTTACTCGCCGTCGGTTCGGCATCAGGTTAACTAGGTTAGAACGTGTCGCGCACCGGCATACGTGCGACGGAGACGGCGCTTGCCGCGGATCGTGCGGCGCGAGCGAGACACGGTGTCCTAAACGCACTTTTTTATATTAGGCACGCCGTGTGTTGACCCGCTGGCTGTCCGTCGTCCCAGCGACGCGACGGTCCTCTGTCCTCGGCCAGCACTTTTTATGTAACGCGCCCGACGAACGAGCCTGTTGTCTCGGCCGCGTAACGTCAGGGGGGCACAGCCGCCGTCGTCGTCGACTTACCCGGTTGATATTGGGCCCGATCGGCGACAGTACCCGTCCCCAGGGCCGAACGACGCGAAGGTACCCGTTCGCGGCGGGTACCGAGGAAACGGATCGTCGACGTTACTCACCAATAACCTCTTTGAGCTCGTAGTCGTCCTTGGTATTCGGCCAGCCCTGCACGACCGTGGTGGAGCTCGAGGACGCCATTTTGTTCGCCAGTGCCGTGCCAAGGCGCGCGTGCTTGCTGGCACCCCGGGCGCCCCGCGCTAGCAGTAACACGCCGCTCTTCGGGCGGCCGCTATTATTCGGCGTTTTCGGCTCACGTGGACCGTTCGTGTTGGCGCCTGCGCGCTCGTGGTTGTTCGACGTTGTCGTCAGGACCGTGCCGCCGGCGCTGCTGGTGGTCGTTGTAGCAGCGGTCGCCGCCGACGTTGTGCCGCCGCTCCGACGCGGCGGTGTCGCCGCGCGGAACGAACGCTGCCGGAAAATACCCGGCGAACAGGACGGCAACACGTCCGGCGATATCTTCCTGCGAACAATTATTTACAACGGTTTGCTTTTATTTCGAAGCGATTTCGGGCGGTGGGGACTCGTCGTCGTTACGACGGCTCCGGCACTTTCGCTGGCAAGGGAGGGGCGCACTGCACCCCGGGTGCGCCCCTACCCTACAGGATTCGGCGTCCGGACGCCACTCTAACGCTCTCATACTTGAGGGTTTCGCGTTAGAATGCCGGTGCCCCAGCGATTCAGAGTTCGGGTAACACCGGGGCATCGCACTTGTGGAGTCGGGGTGCGAACGCCACGGGGTGCCCCGGCACCCGGGGCTCCCGGCTCTGAACACCGCCGCTGGGGCGCCGCGACAATTAACCCTTCGAAGTCGAATTAAAAGTAGCAAAATTTAAAATAGTTTTCCGACACATGGTTTTTTTCATTTTGTATGAACTAGTGCATTTGCTGCTCTTGAAATTGAATATTGCGAGCCGTGCAACATAAGCGCACAAATTTTGTACGCTTTCGACAGCTCTTTAAATGTAAACAAATTTGATCGATACAATTATTTTGAGACGTGACGTAACGAGTTTTAACAGCGCCTCGGAGTCGCCACTCGGGTGCAAAGGGTTGACCTATCAATGATTAGTTTATCGTGCTATGAAATTATTCCTCCCTTTCTTAGCTTTTTAGTTTTTACGCACCGCGATGATACGTTCATGCGATTTACAGTAATTTCTGTCACATTGTCTCTTGTTTTTAGAGTCGCCGATTATCGAGGATTATGAAAACGAGTTGCGAGGCTCGAATAATCGCGCCTCTTCTTTCCAAGTTGTCCATTCTTGTTTCTAAGCTGTTTCTAACATCGTATAATAAATTATTGTACACACAAGCTGTGCGCGTATTCTGCGTTTTTATGCGTTGTCCTTGATGGGTTAAGGTGTCGAGGGGTGGCCACCACCGCAGTGAACACACCCACACTGAAGATGTACAGAGCCTGGGCATTGTCATAGTGTCCTCGAGGCGTTGGGGATTCACGCGTTCCCTACCAGCGTTATTAGCGAATTTATTTATCGTACTTATCGCGTTAAATGCGCCGTATTCTTTTATAAAATATGACACAATTCGTCGCAGAATAATTGCATTAGCATTGGCGTAATTGTCTTGACGATGAAAACGTCGTCAAAGAGAGGCTACGAAATGCCGTGTGCTGTGTCTACTAACAATTTTTTCGACGAAAATGAATTATACACAGCAAAAGTAGAGATTTCAGGCTTCAAAATGAGCTTAGTTTCGTTGTTCTACGATTTTTATTCACGAAGTTACGGTATTTTGAATATCGTCGATGTTT